TTATCTCAATAACTATCAATAACTTTGCCGTCCTATCTCCATTCTATTTGCCAAATTTCCCGAAAGCTCGTTTCCTTTCATCGATCTGCCGGAATGACTGCAATTATCATCAAAATCGAAGTGCGCCCCATTAAAGTCGCTCGCAAGCAGCCGTTCGTATAACGAGAATGCGGTTAAGAAGTGATAATTAAAAGGAATATTAGCGGCACATTCGCTCGAAAGTTCGCGCCGAAGATTCCAACCTACGGTTAGTTTAATCGCTTTTATAATAGAAAGGAATTCCTTAACATTCCACAAAGAGAGGCGTAACAGTTTCACTGGCTATTTTAATAATAAAATTACTGGTTTCGTCATTCTCCCTGCTGCAAAGGAAAGATTTGCAATTCGCCAGATTTGCAATTCGCTCGTCCGCAACGAGTGCCACTAAAGAATTCCAAAATTAATGATATAAATTAGAGAAGTGTGCGATGTCTTTAATATTCATTTTATAACTTCCAAGGGAATTTCCAGTCACCGACTACGTCGACAACTCAAGTTTCGTGATGATTATTACGTTGCACAACTGAAGCTTGAATATTTAATATTAATTTTTAGTTGTATTTCAATATTGATTATTGTGCAATAAGTAAGTTTATCAATGAATTGACGAGTAATGTGAAGGAAATTATATAATTAAGATAATATAAATATCATAATTCTACTTTTGTAAAAGTAGAAAAGGATCATTAAATCTATAATTTTTTATAGAAAATCTGTAAAAAAATTGATAATCTATATATATAATAAAAGCTCTTAGATCTCATGTCATGTTTTTTTTAAGTTCTTTTAAAGTCAAGTTATCAATAAATAAAAATGGATGATCTATAAAAAATTAAGATAAAGTTTATTTTTTCTCTAATTATGTATATTTATTGATTACTTAAATTTTTTTTTACTTTAACTTAAATTTGAATTTGTATCACTTTTAAAGCACAGACATTTAATAACATACCATTATCAAATAACTATATCATTGAGTATGTAATATTTCATAACAGTCGTACAATACATTTTGTTACGTTCCATAGAAGTAAAGTTTGTTTCTTACAATAAGCTAAATGCACTCTTAGCTCCTTAATCTCTAACTCAAATGTGATTAATGACAAACCGCCTACAAGATATAAAATTTTATTTGGAATATATCTTGCTTGTTACACTTTTTGATACGATTTATATAACAACTATAGGTACCAATTAAAAAAAATCGACTAATGACTTCTAATACGATTAATACATAAAAAGATATATAAAGATAAATGTTACAAAAAGTTTTAATACTGCAAGAAGCAGAATTTTTTTCATCTGAAAGTCAAACAAACCTAAGGATGTGCAGAGAGAATACGAAAGGACATGTTTATATTTGTATTGCGGATACTTGTACTAATTTTATTTCTCTTGGCAATGCCGTACCGGCTGACAAGTTTCCCTTTGCTCCGCGTATAAAGTTCAAGCGTAGGAAGTTAGGCGATAAATTCCGCACAAAGAGATACCACGGGACTCCCGCGATTCTTAAACTCTAACGATATTGTCGGCGTCACGTTAAAATTTATGAGCGGGAATCCGTGCCGAAAAGTACAACGATTAATTTAGGCAACGAACGTTCCGTACCGCGTTGCATTCTAACAAGAAGATTCGTATCTTTTACGCCCGTAAAAGATAATAATTATCACAAGAACTATGCAATACGGGACATTTCTGAAATAAAATTATAATAAAAAATAATTCAAATACCTTCTTTCAACAGATATTAAATCTATTTTTTAGTTTATTTATAGACTAGTATATTTTTGAAAAATTTACTTTATATACGGAACGTAAAGAATGTCCGAGGGTTATTTTTATGAAAAATGTTCTATTAAATTCAAGTTTCGAAAATCCAACATTTCACATGTGACAATGTGGCATATTGAAATATAATAAGATAAGCGAAATTTTCCCGCATTATGTGCGTCGTTATACCGCTAAAATGGGGAATACGCGAAATATATGCGAAGCGCAGAATGCCCGCTAGGATAGTAATGTATCCCTTTTGTACATTTGTTCCATTTACATCCATCGCGCGTTTCATGAACGGGAAATGCAACGATGACGCAATTTGCAACCAAGCGTTTATGTGCGACCGAAAGGCACATTCGTGTGTAAAAAAAGTCATAATAAAGCACGTGTGGCATAAAATACGCGCGGCTTTATGCGCGAGCATGATTATAATAACACCATAAATATGGCATTAAAATTACGTGTATTCTACTATAGTTACATGCGTTTTACAACAAAGAAAGAGAGGAAGAGAGAAAAAGAAAGAGAGAAATGTACTAAATAAATATATAAATAAATATATTAAAGTTACTCGACTTAAAATTTATTCTACTTGTTTTCGTGTCTTTATATTTAATTCAATTTACGTACGAAGATTTTTAATGCTTTTTGCAAAATAATGCTTTCTCTCTTGCTATTATCTATAATTACAAAGAGACAAAGAATGTTTTTCAAAAAATGTTCAAAAACGCTGTTTCAAGCAGCTCTTGAGTTCTATCTTGACATGAGAACACGAGGGATTAATCAAATCAAATGTCAGAGACGTCAACGTATAAAAAAATTGTTTCTTATACATACTGTTACTCTATCAATTGCCGTGATATTTTCTCATTATATAGTTTTATTTTGCGCGATGCATGCAATATTGTTCTCGACAAACCGGTTAAAGACATAACGTAATTTACATGTATATTTAATGATTAAGCAACGTGCTGCGCTTGCGAATTGCGCCGTGTTTGTGCTTTGGCGCATTTTACGAAGGGACGTGCGCGGCTTTACGGCACTGTATATACGCATAAACTCGCGTATATACTGTTGCATCGTCACCGAATGAGCAAGCTTCGAACGGAGTTCGGGAATCGATATTCGAGCTAAGCTTCCGCTTACAAACGCGCCGATGCCGATTCCCGTTTCCTACACAACGACTGACCGTAGCCGTTGGGGAAGAAATATTTTTGGTACGTTTTCTCCTCTTACTCTCTGAGTTTGTAAAAAAGCGACATTGTTCTCAACAAATAAAAATGCAAAATTATATAAAACAGGAAAATAACGTGTGTCATACATATGTACATATGTATATATGTATGTACTATTCTTTCTCGTATTATATATAATTCTATATTTTTTTGCCAAGAGAAATTATTTTCAATACGACACAAACTAGTGTTACTATTAAAATAGTATATATAGCTCGTTTTAATTTTTTTATTATTTTAATTAGAATGCATAGATAATGCGAATATTCGAATGCAAAATATAATTCGAGTTAGTATCTATATATGAACATGAACATATAGTGGATAATATAATTCAATAGTTCTCGCAAATGCACTAGACTATCGAATTGAAAGGATGAAATTGCTCGAAGCTACAAATTTTAGTGAAGCATGTTAATCAGTAATTAACTCGTATTCCCCATTAGTTGAGTCTAATGCTAAATGCGTACTGGCTATTCCATCAATTAATGGCTGACAGCAGCTACGAAATGGAATTAAATAACAGTATACGGTTAAAATTATAAGTCGTACGTATATTCAATTTTTATCTTTTTAAATCGGTGTTTAACTCTCTTCTCGCGTCTTAATACATTCTCGTACTCTCGTGTTTTACTTTCTTGGATAAAATAATGTACTTACAAAGAAGCGTGCAAAAACTCTTCACACTTTTACTAATTCACATATTTTAAAAGCCAAACGAAGAAAAATGGCAGTTGCTTTAAACTACGAACTTTCGTGATAAACATTCAAAATTAACAGAGTTCCACAAAGTTGTACTTTAAGGACATTAATAGGTGATAAAGTCTTATTTTCCAACGGTTTTCCTAAATCCACTATGAACTATAATGAACTGTACACTATAAACTATAACGTGAAATCGTGCTACTCAATTATATACCGAGTTAAAATTATTAATAAAATTTGCACCAACATATAAACTCATTGATTGCTATTATCATCAACGACCCTTCGCCAAATGTTTTTATCTAGTACAAGTATCATTTTATACACGCTAGTTTCGTCTTCGTTGCATCGGTTAGCTAATTAGATAGTTGATCTTATAAAAGAATATTGAAATATTCTCCGGAAAAAAAATTGTATTCTTAAATATCGAAGCAAAAATTTTATAATATAAAGAAGTCGTTTAATGCATACTATGGATATCGATTAATCGCGACGACATTGTATTTTTAATAGCATCGTCAACATCTCTTTATCGATAATTTCAAGATATCTCAAAATAATTACTAAAACGGTTCAAATTAATATTAAATAATTTTAATAAGTAATTTTTAATTAAATTTGATTAAAGAAAATTCAATCTTAAATCGTTCAAGGAACAACTTTACAGATCTTTACTTAAAAAAGAAAATATTAATTGCGTGTTAATTATTTTTACACACATTTCTCATACACTTTCAAATAATAATATGATAACGGGCCAGCGGTTAAAAATGTCAAGCGATTAAAAATTCTTGCATTGCAATATTAATTCTTTGTACATTCTAGCTTGGATGATTAAGATTTTCGGCATTTTACATGTCAAGTTGGCAGGAACTTTATATATATATTATTTTTTATATAAATATGAATATGGAATAACGCACACTATAAATACGCGCGTGCATTAGTACTACAGCGCGCAAATAAACTGCATGCGCGAAAATCTACGAAACAAATATGCGAGTAAAAACAAAAGAGCTTTCCATTCTCTTTATATATATACTCTTTATATATACTCTTTATACACTATCAACATTCGGAGCATAAGCGCCGCGTGAACTTATCGAACCTTTGTTTTTACACGCGAATCAAGAAATTATGAGATACACCTACTTGTGCATTCGTAGTGCCAATAATATTGCGATTATGACAATACGACGATATATAGCGTTACATGCGAAAACGGTTGCAAATGAATTTACTCACGGTAGCAGGAGGTATTTGCCGGGAGGTAACCTCAACTACTGCTCCTTCCGTGTGCTCCAGCCAGTCCAGCCCATCGCTCGTCTCAATGAATCTCGTCGGGAACATTCGCACTTACACTCGCGAATCGGAAGAACGCGGTTAATTACGCCCGTTTATACAGATCGGTATGAAACGCTTAATCGGACTTAACGCGATCGCGCGCGATGCCGGGCGTCGAGCATCGGATGGCATCGGACGCGTGTCGCACGTAATTAATATGGCGGTGACGGACGCGAGAACGCGTGACGTAGGTAGGTGACATAGCGCGTGAAGTGCAACTCGCACCGCTCGCACGCGACTTCACAATTCGCCGGCTCGCTAGACACTCACCCGTGGCGCGGCAGCTTCAATTCAAATTTGTCGCTCGACCGTACCGAAACTTCGTCGCTCTTTGCAACAATATATTGCTAAATATATTATAATATACCTTTCATAATACATATAATAATACTTTTGTTAGAAAATAAATTTTCTCATAAGTATATTCCTTCAATCGAAGGATTTGAGTATACATATATGATCGTAATACTCAGACGTTTAATAAATAAAATTCAATTAAGATTATTGAAAGTTAAGAGAGTACTTAATTGAGAGAGAAAGTTCGAAGAGAAATATAAACAGCGACTAATTGTATCGTTGCTATAAAATTAAGACTAACTTCAGTACATGTGTTACCTTCACGCATGTTACCCACTCATTGTCGGTTTAATACGTCGCGATTATCGCGCAATGATTTAATTGCTCGACGTCTCGCCTTCGAATATGCAACAGTTAACATAAATGAATAACGCGAAACGCGATTTACGATGAAATAAATATATGAATCTATCGCGCGCGTTGATTGACACGACAATTGCGACGTTCGCGACGAGTGCGTTCAACAATCCCGCGGCACGCGTTCGCATCCGGCACGCTCGATTTACCGTCGACGCTCACGCGGAGGCAACTTCACTCCGATCCCCGCAACTCGCGGCGCGGTGCGCGGCCGTGCAGATTTTTAGAATCGGACCACTGACGCGCCCGGGGCCCGGGGGGGGCGAAGTTCATGTGACCTCGACGATGTCGTGTTCACAATTTAGAGATGTTTCGAGGAGCAATGAGACACGGCCGCTCAATCACCGTCGATTACGTGATACAGACATTCACCAAGGTAAATCGCGTCATGTGTTTTCTGTCCGTAACGTTAGATCCGAGCGTCCCCCCGATGAGGCAGGTACTTCCAACCTCAAATATATCCGTGCAACGAAATACCTCTCGACGATGAAAGTCCAATCAACGTTTGATCTTCACGTGTCTCATAATCACAGCTTTGCGTCTCATAATTATAGCTTTATCGCGAGCCTAGCCGAACGAGAGTATATCGACTACGTATAACGTATAGTGTGTGTGTGTGTGTGTGTGTGTGTGTGTGTGTGTGTGTCGCGCGCGCGCGCGCGTGTGTGCTGTGTGTGTATGTGTTGTGTGCACGCGCGTGGATCGCGCGTTCTGAATTCACAAGAAATTCTAATTACAATCACGTACTTTGTATATCAATATTACGTCCGGAATATGCGACACTCACGTTAGACGTGCAAGGCATTTAGGATATTTCGAACCGCAGCAGCCGCGGTATAGACGTACAGCAACGATGTCGCGTCGCGTTTGACTCGCTATATCATATCGATTCAGCGTGAAATGCGTCGCGTTATCCGCGCCAATTGTTTCGTCGAAACGCGCGTCACGCGCGTAATCGCGCGCCAGAGACGAATCAACGTGCCCTTCGCGATCATTACGACCGCGTTAATGTATTTAATCGCGATATTAATGAGCCGTTTGTTTGCGATATAATTAAATCGCCTATACATAGAATTACCAATGGTCGCTGGTTAATCGAGATCGGAGTGATATTGTTTCGTATCCGTCCGTAATAATCAATTTTTTAAACCTCGATTCGATTTCTTCTTTGTCCCTCTTTGCAGATGAACAGAAAAAAATAATAATAAATTAATCGGCACCGAAGGAATCGATCCACATTCGTCGAAAGTAAATCGGGATTTTTTTTTGATATATAAATGAAAGTCGAATTTTGAGAGATGCTAATTCTTGCATGTTATATGATAATATAGACTTATATAATTTGCATAATGCCACATAATATCTAGAACAGTGCTGTCCAAGACTTCATAATTCTGGGCATGATGTGTATTAGCATTCACGTCCATTGCCTTCCTTTTTCTTAAGAAAAATAAAAAAGGAAGATAAAATAAATATGTGAATGTTGATATACGTCAAATCAATATTCACAATCTTGGATAGCACTGATCTAAATGAATCCTTTTTATTCGAGAGGGCGTGAAGTCGAAAATAAAAAAAATATTCTCATAAGTAAAAATTTGTGAAATATAAAAAGTTCGTTGCTACTATAAATTATTATAATTTAATATGAATCGCAAATCGAAATAATTAATTAATGCAATTACTGATTTCAGATGTAATCGTGTTGATCAAAAATTCGAATCGACGATTTTCATGGTCTCCAAGCGGTGAGTTAAATTTTAAATGTAATAACCATTCGAACAATAACAAATTGATTTTCTTTGATATTTGGAATGCAATATCGAATTTATTTCGTCGACAGATGAAAACAGTTTGACGAGAAATATTAATGAAAATGCGTAACCTATATTATTAAAAAAAAATTAATTAGCCCAGGTACACGTTATAATGAAGTATCTCTTTATCAGCGATATCTACTAAGAAATTAATTTACTAAAAAGGAAATGCTACACGTATATTTTCCATTACTCTTATATACATACATTACATATATTACGTACGTAAATTACGATAATGAGATACTTCTATCTTGGAAATTAAAATAGATTTTAATATCAAAACAGATATGATACAGAAAGCAGATATTGTAATATGGAGAACGATACGAAAGTTTTATGCCAATAATTTTATTAATCGCATTTCAAATTTCTGCAGTAATAATTATAATAACATTTTCAACATATTCATATATTACAAGAGATATACATAGAAGTGTAAAAAAATACAATGTACTCTTTGATTTAAAAAAAAGCCAAAAGTTTAATATTCTTTTATAAAAGTTTTCTGAAAAATTTTTCATACTTTATTGTACAATTTGTAATCTAATATTTATATATTATCTTTATATTATTCAAAAATCATATCGCTACATATATTAAAATTCATTAAATTTTACTTTAAAAAGAAGAATATCAGCGTTCCATTATTTAAATACAAGATATTCTTGAAAAATAAAATATGAAAAACTAAAAAAGATAACAAATTTTCTTTTGTACATTACATGCCTACTCTGTTGAGTTATGCAATTTTTATTCGAAGCTTTTTTTCATAAAATCAATATTTATAGAGTTATACGAGTGTGGTTTGAATATTTGGATCACACTTTATGTGAACAATTTAGATTGGATAAATTTTACGTTTACACAACATATTAATACATCAATTTATTATTGGTATAACTACTCGTTGTCATTAATGAGATGCGATACCATGATTGTCGTTTATTAATCAGCTTATTATTATATCCGATTTATTATTAATTATTTTCTCGTTAATTCCAATCTAAATCCATTTCTCATTGATCCGGAAACAAGAAATTTATTACGAGTCTCACTCTGGACATATACAAGATTTAATAGCGTATTTTTATAAAAAGAATCGAAATAATAAGCATATCTCTCTTCTCACGAAATCGCTGTCTCGATATCACTGCACTTTTATTAGCGATAATAAACGCAATTAGGATCGCGCCTATTGGATTTCGCAGATTTCATCACGATTCGCATAAAATTAAAGCGTACCATGCAACCAGCAGCGAATATGCGAGGACATTCGTTCCAATTAATTTCTAACGAGCTCTTGATTGGTAACGAAACCCTCATTTCTGCACTTCCGCTCCGGCGAGATGCAAATTCACACTGGTTGTCATAAAAACGGCTCTTATTGATCTTTAAGGACGATAGCAGCTGGTGAAAATCGAGATTGGCGATCCTTCCCTTTCTCTCTCTCTCTCTCTCTCTTTCTCTCTCTCTTTTTCTCTTTTTTTTATTCAAAGCTTCGATACGCTTTGCAAGATGGCACATAGCAGATGTTTTATTAAATATTCGTAATATTGAGATTTGCGCGTACATTATTGAAATCTTTCTAACGCTTAATATAAATTATACGTATATGAAAAAACATGCCATATTATTCATAAAACACAAAATAATTTTTTAAGTTTTATTATATATCATTATCTCGGTTTCTCTCTGTTGCTTAGAAACAGACTTTTTATTCAAAATTAATTTCTAAGCGGATAAAACAGATTTTGCAAAATAGTATATTTAAAATGAAAAATCTCTCATCCAGGCTTTATAACGTCACGAATTCATGATGTCACAAATCTGCTTTATTCCGCGGACTAAAATTTTGTGCGATTTTGAATTTATTATGAATTACGGATCTATGAAATGACAGAGACTGGACTGGATCTACTTATATCGATATCACCGCGAAGACAAAATATCCGTGAATTTATAAAATAAAGCTTGATATCTATTTAACACATTATCCAAATTAGAACGCTGTATCGAATAAATTTCTTTAAAATATTAAGTATGTTATCGGAGACGTTAATTTATTTATCAATATAATACACGACGAATACAGCAAATTATAGATATACCGAAATAAAAGATCTATATCATCTTTTTTGCAAAATGATTTTAATTACCTTGACTTCTTGTTCATGATATATCATTTCTATAATAATCTCGTCGCCAATAATTGATTTTTCCAATAAATTTCTGTCAGGCTACATGTATGTCACAGTATGTAATATAGATTTTCTTGACAAATTGTAGCATAGAGAATTGAAGATATTTTAATGCTATCAAGCATTCTTAGCAACGTTAAAAATAAATACATACATCCAACACATAAAATAAAATATTGAGAATATTTAAGACCATCCTTTCTTTTGCAAAATTCATATAGATTATTGAAAAACAAAATTCAATCAAAAGTCAAGAAAATAATTGTGTATGATATAGATGTGTCTAAAAAAGGAACTAACATATATAAAGGAAGATTCCAAAATCTTTTTCAACTAATGTTGTTAGCTTATCTGAAACAGTTTCGGAAATACTTCTGTTACAATCTTCACAATGACAAATGAATA